CAGAACTGGACACTGAGAGCAAAGTAGGAAAGAGAAACATCACTACATCCTGCAGCATGTTGGGATGCAGGCACCTACCTCTACTCTGAGGCACCTCTAACAGCTACTGCACAAATGGAAGAGAACCCTTCCTTCTCTCAGCCCCTGGGGGTAAGGCAGCTACCAGCCCCAGAGCTATGCCTCTTACGGGACCTTGGTCAGATTATTTAATCAGGCTGTGCCTAGTTTCCTCATTGCTAAAATGGGGGTGAGAATAGACTCTATCTCTGAGGGCTGCTTTCAGAATTAAATGAGATCATGTCTGCAAAGAACTGCTAGCTGGGGTATATGGCATACACTTAGGGGCTAATAAATGTTTTATTGTAGGTGTGGGGATCAATAAATATACTTGTGCCCTGGCCGAGTAGCACAGTTGGTTAGAGCATCGTCCCAATATGCCAAGGTTGTGGGTTTGATCCACGGTCAGGGCACATGTTCCTCTCTCTCTCTCTCTCTCTCTCCCTCTCTCTCTCTCTCATCAATAAGTGAAAAAATACTTGTAGCAGGTTTTCATAATGTAAATTCTGTGACATTCTTTGGTGGGAGGGTGCAACGTTCTTGGCATCAAAAGAAGTTTCTAATGCAATCCCAATGGGTGGGTGAAGACATAACAGTGTTTATCCTCTTCCAAGAGTGGGGAAGGAAATGGGCCACCATCATTTGAGACTGTGGTTAGAATTTTTTTGTTCTAAGAGCTGAGGTGGGGAGGGCTGTTAACCCTTATGTTAAGGAGGGAAAAAAAGCAGAAGGTGATTTTGTGTGACGGGAAAAGAGACTGTGGAGAGCAAGGAGAGGAAGAAGGGGTTAAGGTTCTGGAGGAAAGTGGGGCCTCTTCATTGGGTGTGGCCCTGGGAAGGCTGGAGTTCGGAAAACAGCCAAATCACCAGAAATTCTTCCAGGCAGAGGGATTAGAGAGTGCAAGGGGCTTCTGTGGCAATATATTTACTTTTATAAAATTGGAATCATCCGTTCCACCATTCAGGGGCTGAGGTGGACCAGAACTGGAAAATCAGCCCCTTCCCTTAAAGTGCATCAGGCCCTGCCCCACACATGTCCCCACAAGAGACCGTGGGACACTCATAAACTCCTAAGTGACCCTCACGCTTCATCAGGCTTCAGAATCAACTGGGGTGGTTGGGGAGAGGGGTTGTGAAGCACGTAGACTTTCCAGTAAGACTCTCATTCGTTAAGTCTGGGGTGGACAGGAATCTGCATTTGTAGCAGTTACACTGACACTAGGGCACCAGTGAGACCTCTGACTATTCCCACAGACACTGGCATTGGCCACCCATTAGTAGGTGGCAAAATCAATTCAAGGGGTAGAGACCAGTGTCATAAAAATTAGAAAAGAAAGAAAAAATAGAAAAATGTTGTTTGTAGTAAGAGTTTTTTGTTTGTTGCAGTTAAATATAGTACATATAAGACTGGGGATTGAATGTATTTCTTCCTGAGGGTCATGGTCATAAAAAAGTTCGAAAACTGATGCTCTAAGGTGACCTCTGGAGCACTGGTGGGAGTGGGGAGAGCTGTCCTTGAACTTTAGGGTTTGCCTAGGCAAGGCACCCTGATCTGGGAACAGAGAAGAATGGACACCTTTGTTACATTTTAGTCATTCAGTCGATTTAATCAGCACCTACCTATGTCCCGGGTCATATTTAAGAAATGAGAATACAACCATAAGGAAGAACAAAGTCTACTCTCCTGGATAAATAAAACAAATGGAAATGTAACAGAATGTCGGTAGTGGGAAGAGCTAGGAAAAAGGCAGGCAGGATAGGAAAAGAAGCTGGACGGGGGTGCTGATCAGGAGCAGCTGATCTAGGAGGTCTCTCGCAGGTACTGGGACTGTGCCCTGGATAAACAGCAAGCATACCTGGAGAGTAGCTGGGGGAGGAGTTTTCCAGACCGAGGGGCCAGCAAGGGCAAAATCTCTTTTTATGCCCTGAACTCTGCTCCCTGCTCCCCCCTCACCAAAGAACGGGGCACAATTTACACAGTTCTTTCTGCAAAAGGTGCCACAGGTATATTTATACACTCACACATGATAAAATATTCATTAGTCCCTTACCGTATGACACAGGTGGTAATATACTTATTTTTATAAAATTGGAATTATCTGTAAATTCTGCTCTGCAACCTGCCTTTTCACTTGCTCATTTATGACATTTGGTTTTGGACTTTTTAAAATTGTTTTGATAGTGAGTATTTGGGAAAGTCTATTGGAAAGAACTGTTATTTCCGGCCTTTACTGTCTCTCAGGCCTGCTCTTCAACCCTGACCCACCCCTTGTCTGCCTGCCGGGCCTGGGCCCTGGTCTATTGCTGACCCCCCTCGCCGCATCGGGTTCCCCATGCCTCCTTCCTCTTCAGACCCTGATCCAACCAACGTCTCTGGTGTCAGGGCTGGAAGTCATCTGACTGGGGTTTGCACAGTTTCCAGGAGTGGCAAGAAGACTGTCAATGCGATGGCTTCTTTTCTCCTGTGATGTTTTCACAGAACAACCAGTATCAACTGCCACCTTTAAGAAAAACGTGGCAGCCTGCCAGTGCAGACAAACTTACACCACATGAGTCCTTGTGCAGTCCAGGCCCCCGAGGAGAGAGAGTCCTTCCTGCTCTTGCCAGACAAGACCAAACTGGATGAGACCAGATCTCATCTCCAGAGGACTCTTAGGACCCGTACACTTCAGAGGATGGACACTATCAAACTAGGCAAGTCCAGAAGAGAAAAATCAGTTCAGGCAGCAAAGAGCCATGAACTAGAATTATATTTCTACAAGACAGAATTGGAGGCATTGGTAGTGTTAGGTTGAGGGGATGAAAGGTGAGGGGAAAGAAGGGGGCACAAAAAGTATGTTGACTGCATCCATAGCATTCTACCTTGTGTCCTAACTGGCTGTTCATGATCACCTTCCCCTTTCATTCTTTATTCAAAACTACTTATTGAGGATCAATTACGGTATGTGCTAGACCTGTGCTGTCTAATGCCATAGCCATTAGCCACCTGTGGCTCCTTAAATTTAAAGTTAAAGTTAAATACAATTTAAAATTCAGTTCTTCAGTTGCAAACTAGCCACATTTCAGGTGTTCAATAGCCACAGGTGGCTTGGGGCTAGCATATTGGACAGAGGACATATAGAACAGTTCCATCAGAGTAGAATGTTCTAGACACTATGTTGGACACCAGCAATAAATACAGGTGTAAATAAGACCCCAGTCACTGTCCACATGGAGCTGACAGGCAAGTGAGAGAGCCAAGTAAAAGAAAAATCACGCTGTGTTGCAGAAAGTATGAGGGACTTTGGAAGCACACGGGAAGGATAGCTAATTCAGTCTGGAGGAGGAAGAGAGGGTGAAGTCACAAATGACTCCTAGAGCCCTGCCATGGTTGATTGGTGAATGGTAATGCCCCGGCACTTAGAAAGAAAAGAGGAAGAACAGGTTTGGGGGGAAGATAATGTTTCCAGTGTGATTCATGTCGAGGATTGATGATTTTACATAGCCAAGTGTGGATGGGCAGGAAGCGGGTGGATACACAGGTCTAGGAGAAGTCTGGCTAGAGATACCAGTTTTGAAGTTTCAGGTGCCTTGAACCAAAGGGGAGGGGGGAGAGGTTTATGTCCTCAGAACTGATGCATCTGGAAGGCAGGGATCTGGTAAGTCAACTGTTGCTACATCGAGCCTAGCCCAGGGCCCCAGGCGCAAAGCAATCACTCTCTCCTGGTTGCCAGGCTGTTATGCGGAAGAGGGACTAAGTTTGTAGGGAGAGCCCTCAGCTCTGAATTACAATCAGTGTTGCAAGTGACATGGGGTAGATCCCAGCTCCTGACAGGAGGAAGTCTAACAACAAGCCACTGACTCAGAAAGTAATGAATGCATCATCAAGGGAGTGTCAACAGGGCTAGAGGAACCCCATCAGGGATACTGGAGAGGGGACACCCTCTCTGGGGAAGACAGACCCAATCACCAGCTTGATATTCTGTAAAGGAACATTTCCCTCACCACCCCCATCCCCGTTTCCACAGGCGCCCAACTTTCAGGAACTTCACAAATCTTCATTGAAGGCAGTTCTGCTGGGAGATCAACACTACAGGAGGCAGCTACTACGGCCTAAAAGAAATGTTGGCTAGGTCCTCTGCATTCATTCATTCATTCATTCATTCATTCAACAAATGTTCAACAAGCCACTACTGTACACCAAGCCCTGTGCTATGTGCTAGGAATACAGACAGGAATGGACTCTAGTCTGAAAGCAATGGATTGGAGCTGTAAAAACTTAGTCTAGATCTAGAAGCTGCTGTTGGTTTCCGGAACTGTCTTACCATTCATTGGCTCTTTAGATTTGAGTCTAGGTACTGAGGGATCTCTTTGCTATGGTGGTGGGCCATAAATGTTTGATGAAAGGAATGTGGAACCTGGGGAAGTGTCCAAAGGAGGGCTCTCTGCCTGGGTGGAATCAGGAAAAACTCCAAAGAAATAAAGCAACACCTCTATCTAGACGAGTAGCAATTTAAAAGGTGACATTTTTAAGGGTTTCCTCCGTTACTCTAATGATGATACCAGCTTTCCTTGCATTATATAGATTCTCTGGCCGCGTGGTCTGGGCACATCAGTCCTCCTCTCGGGAACCTCATCAACGCATTGTTACGGTAAGAAAGCAGGGCGGGGTGCTGTCGGCTGGGCTCCTGGGAGACGTCAGGAGAGCGGAACCATGGTTTAGTAGCCGGCGAGGCTGACCGGAGGCTTTTCGGCCGAACTCCCACCCTAGCGACGCGCGCCTCGTTGCTAGGGGCGGCGGCATGGGCCTTGGAGCGCGGAGGTTGCAGACGCTCTC